GCATCTACAAACAGCCCTTTTAAAACTGAAAACAGATGGCTGACATTTAACCAGAGTTGGCAAATATCCTTGGACACACTATTCAAAACATTCTCCTAAAATCACAGGATAAAAATGCTTGTAATTTATCCTAAGATGAAGTTTGGGGAAAAAAAAGCAAATGGTGCAAATCCAGCTTCCACTTCACAATACTATTAGTTTGTTACTATTCATTCCAGAAACATTTATATTACCTGGACTAATGGAGGGTTGGGATTCCACTAGGCTTGTTAAAATCCAACTGATAAAGACAGATGGTCTGTAAGTGCTGCAAGAGGCAGCGTGCAACACTGTACAAGGAGGTTTAAAAGACCTTCAGTGATCATCTGCTGCAACTCTGCCCCACCAAGTTATTTAAGAGCTGGCCAAGGAAACTTCTGGCTTCTTGGAGATAATTTAATCTTGGGGAATTTTAAGAGGCAGGAAGCATAACATTGTTAGAGCAGTGACCAGGCATCTGCAGGCTACTTTCTCTGATGTCACAGACAAAATAATGGAAAACTGATAATGGACTAAGAAAATTCAAGGCTAGATACACAGCTAAAATCAAACAACAGTGTTGTATGGAAAACAAGTCAGTTAACAATAGTCTGTTTAATTCTTAGAAACAGTTGCCTGGTAGAGGTAACAGTAGGTAGGCACATTAGAGAATGAAATCAGGGAACATGACAGAACAAACTCAGCACTCACCATTAGAAGAGCATTCACTAGACAGGTTAACCCCCACTAGCATCCTTCTTAGATAGGTGTTTAAGCAAGGCTCTGCAGGATCAGTATCAGGCTCAGACAAGTGGAACTGTCTTGACAATCTGGAAATAAATACAGATTGATAATTCAGATGATTCAGATAAAATACTTTCTGGAAAAGGTTGAAAGAATGGGAAATAGCAGTAGGGTTAAGGTGGTTGTGCAGAACAATTTCAGATTCTGGTCACACAAAAATGTATCACCTTTTTCATACAGTCAAACTACACAGTAAGAAAACTTGGACCAAGGTCTGCAGGGACCACCTGGAGAAAAGGGTCATCTCCAGGGACACACTGACTCTAAAGAATGATCAAGCAACCCAACACAAATTCCAAGGATGATGCTGAGACATGATGGACTAACGCAGCCCATGGGTGTTAGGAATTGAATGGCCTGGGCTTTTATGAAGGCTGGATGCAATGACATCATTATCCTTCCTGCCTTCACCATCGTGAATGGTATCTCTAGGAGAAGGGCTTGCTTCCATAACGTAAATGGCAACTCTTTCAAGTACAATTGTTGTGCAAGCTCTGCTTATGTAGGCATATCAACACAACCTAACACATTAGATCCCATTTCCTGGCAGCACCCCCCACAAGCTTCACCCCACATCTAAATGCAGCAGCAACCCCAGGTATGCCCAAAGATAACATCTCTTGTTATCAAATCCTTGTAACAGTTCTCTTGAGAGAACTCCACTTTGCCAAAACAGCATAAGTCAGAGGGTCCACAAATCTTGCAAAGTTCTATTAGTAGATTACATGCTCTGCATGGAAACTATTGTATTAGTCTCTGATGTCCTATAAGCACATGGCAGTGGGGTTAAACTAAAGGAAGAGAGAAAGAGAGAGAGGTGTATTAAAGAGGAGGAGAAGGGAAGGGACAAAGGGGGAGAGACAGATCAGCAGTCCTGGCTCCATCGCTGATGCAGATGATGGGGTGTACAGGGTCCAAGGGTGCACACACAGGATCCTGGCCTTTGTGGGGTACCTTCTTCTAGATGAGTTTCCCTGCACTGGAGGTAAGTTTCTCCCTTTCTGTGTAATTTATTTACTGTGGCAATGGGTTGGAGGCTTCAGGGTATTTGGTGGTCTCCATATCCTCCTACATGCCTGCTTCTTGACCTCATTCCTACACTTGTGCTGTGTTGTGCTAATCTCCAGGAGCCAGGTAAGGATATTTGTCCCAGAAAAGTGCTGCTCTACCTCCACATGGCCCCTTCTCCAGCCACATTCTGTTAATTTTCCCAGTGTGTTATTGGATCCCTGGCTGCTAGTACCAACAATCCTTGTTTGGCTCCACAGGCACCTGGCTATCAGTGTTTAAGATTAGCCCCGTTATCTTCTGGGCTTCTACACGGATTCCCTGCAAACTCAACTCAAAGCTCAAAGTCAAGAGTGGCTTCTTTATACTGAGTCACTCCCTTGCAAAGCTTTTGTACCTGGATTTTGTTGACTTTCTGAGGCTAGTGCAATATATTTCAGAAAAAGGTAGTGCTGTTGAAGAGGTGTCATCAGGGTCAGAGCTGTGAGACCAGTTTGCAGCAAAGAGTAATATTTTATTACACCAAGTGATGTAAAAAAAAAAAAGGAAAAAAAAAAAAAAACCAAACCCTAGGGCACAAAGAAAATAAAAACTTCAGAATAAATAGCAAAAAAACTGCTCTGAACTTCAGCTGTCAGACCAATTGTCCAATGAGCCTGAGGGGCAAGGGTTGCTAGTGTGGAAAGTGGAAGAGAGCATTAGCAACAGGGAAGATAGTACTGCCTGAGCTTGTCAAGAAGAGATGGTTTTACCGCAACACAAAAGTAGAACAGACTCCTGAACTAGGAACAGTGCAATATTCTGAACACAAGCAGTTTTCTCCATTCACAAATGCAATAGGGAAGGAGAATGCCAAAGCACCAGAACAGTGGTGTCCAGCCTGTGGTATGTGAACTCAAATCTGCAGAAAGTGACTGAGAAAAACAATCCTGCAGTAGGCTGAAATAGCCTATGTAGATTTGCACCTGCACCAGACTGTTATTTACTGGCTGGAAAACTGAAGAGGTTGCAAACCCTTGTAACAGCAGATAAGAATCCTGACACAGGCAGTAGGCAGAACTTGCCTGCTACGCCTGGTCAAACCTCCACAGTGTTTAGCACAGGGTCTTCTCTCCAGTCACAGGATCATTTAGGTCGGAAAAGACACCTGAAAGTGAGTCCTGTGACTGATCAGCAACTTGGCAATTAGAACAGAGCACTAAGTGTCACGTCCAGTCATTTCTTGAACACTACCACCTCCCTTGGCAGTCCATCCAAATGCTTCACTACCTTTCAGTGAAGAAATTCCTCCTGATGAATATTTGGAGTGAAGGTCTTTGTTCCCAAGCCTCCACCAATTTATTCCTTTAGCTCTCCTCTGGAAGCTTTGTCAGTGCAGTATCCCATTTTCTCATTTATATTTACTCCATGTACAGCAGAAAGTGTCTGCATCACTTTGGTTCTGGTATCCCTGCTCAGTTTTTTCCCATTCCAAATGCTCTTGGGCTGGATTCTGTGTGATTTTCAGAGACATATTCCAGCTGGCACTACACCATCTGACAACAGCATCCCAAGAGCTCTCAGCCTTTGTTGTTTTCTGCTGCACACCAAATTTCCATCTTGATTATCAAAGGATTGCCAAGCTATGATGGAAGAATGCTAATAATAGTGATTAAATCCACACAGATTATGGAGCTGCAGACATGTTTGTCACAAAGCTTATGAAACTTTGTTTACAGCTGTAATTAATTGTCCCGCTGCTGTAGTAATAAAACAGGATATCAACAGCTGCATCATGAAAATCAACAATACCTGTGTACTGTTTGGTCTGAATTTCAGTTTAGTTCAAAGGACCCTCTATCTTACTGAGAAAAAAACAAGAACAGGGAGACCTTGCAGCTCCTGCCCATCTATGCAGTGTCAAGGATGCAGACTGGCTAAATCTATCTACTCTTTGCAGAGAAGGCAGAAGCATGAAGAACACAGATTAATTTTTAGATATTTTTTAAGGTAAAATCAGATTTCATGCCCTTTCTACTTACATGGAGAATATGGGCTTAAGGGCCAGAGGATGAGCAGTGAAGGACACCAGACCGCAGCAAAGGTCAAGGACCATGGGACATCATCACTGGTGGCAGCAGGGGCTGCACAGTCTGCACACCACCTTCACCAGCCCTGCCTGCTCAGCACCAAGCAGAGACCCACTTCCACACAGGGTAAGTAAGCCTGGCTTTAATGTGCCAGGCCTTGCAGTGGTGCCCAAAGGGTAAGGACCACTGCATTTTCAGCAGCCAGAGGTGCTGTATGCAATGGAAAAAATACACAGCAGGAAAAAGCCTAAATGGAAGAAATATTTTTGTTTGTGGTTTTATTTTTTTTTCCCTCCTCTTGACTCACAACCCAAAACTCATCTCAGGAGTCAAGTTTTATTGACTATCATTTCTTGCCATCTGTCCTGTCATCGTTGAGTTTAGACTGCCAGAAGTTCCACCAAGTTCTCTAACACAATTCTGCTCTGCCAACCCCTCCGTATTCTCCATTAATCCCCCCCATACTTTACTTGACTTTCTCCTCCTGTAGTGTGGTTTCTTTTTGTCCTGTAGTTCTCCATGTCAACAGGGTGCCTCCCTGTGTCCATGCTCTCAAAAGAAGGAGACGTTAACATTAATGTAAATGCAGAACTGGTTCCAGAATGCTCTGTTCTTAAGCCACACAGGTCCCTCACCGGGCCCCGTCATGGTATCTGTCCCTCAGAGGGGCTTCTCAGGGGGCCCCTCACACAGTGTCCCTCACAGGGACAGCGGAATCTTCGCACGGGCTCTAATGGCGTCTCTCGAGGAGTTCCTCAAGAACTGGTGGGTTAATTCCCGCGGCCCGTGCCGGGGGGCCCTCTAGGTGTCCTTTACTGGGGTCCCTCAGGGGATCCCTGACGCGGCCCCGGGGGGAGGGGGCTCCGCTGCCCCGCCCCTTCCTCCCGCCCCGCGCGCGCCGAGGGAGGGGCGGGGACCCGGTCACGTGAAGGCGAAAGGAAGAGGCGGGGCCTTCCCCCCGGCGCGCGCTGCTCACGTGGTCACCGAGAGGCAGAGGCGGAAGAAGGCGCCGGTGGATGGGCGCGCGCGGGCGGTGCGTGAGGGGCGCGGGGCGGGGCTGCGCGCGAGCGCGTCGCGTCGCGTCACGTGGGGAGGGAAAACGACCCCGCGCGCGCGTGGAGGAGGAGGAGGAGGAGGAAGGCGGAGGTCACGTGACGGTCGCGGGCGCCGCCGCCGCCGCTTTGTGAGCGCACCGGGCAGGTACCGCGCGCGCGGGGGGGCGCGCGGGGCCCCCCTCAGCCGCCCCCGCCCCGGCCAACGGGCCCCGCGCGCGGCCGCTCCCCCCTCAGCCGCCCCCGAGGCCCCGCGGGCCCGGCCCTGCTTTGTCCGCACGGCGGTCCCTCGGTCCGCGGGTCGGTCGGTGTCCGCCCGGGCCGCCCAGCCCCGGCCCGCCCGCCGACGGGTTGCGGGGGGACGCGGCTTTGCCCTACTTTCCGTGGCGGCCGCCCCGGGGAAGCTTCGCCCTGGCCTAGATCGCCGTTCCCCCCGCCCCCTCCGCCCCCCTCCTCTCCCGCTCAGCAGGGCCGCGGGTGCGGGCAGCGCCCACCTGGCTGGGGAGGGGGCGCCCGCTTGGCCTCGGGAGAGGTGGGTTCTGTCTGCACCCCCTGACATCCGCGGGAGGGGGTCCTCCACCGCGCCCGCCTTCGAGGAGGGGTTCTCGTCTAATCTTGGAGGTGCTGGTCTCCTACAGCCAGGAGGGAGTTGGTGCCTCCGGCTCGGGGGCATGAGAGGAAAGCGGGACCAGCTGGAGGAGCGGGGCTGGCGGCAGGAGTCAGGCCGGAGGGGAGGTGGCAGCTCGAGAAGTGAACAAGTGGATGATGAAGTATCGATCTATTACTTTCGCAGGGCTTTACTTCCATATTGTCGTTGCCCATCCCCTTCCCGGGTATTCCCTCGCTGGTGGTGGGGGGGTCACACCTACAAACAATAACATATCAGCAGGTACAGTGGGTTACTTGAGGACATGACAATGAATGAACCGTTCCCTCTATTAGCCTTCTCCAATTTAGTCCTTCCTTGCCATCGGCTGTGTGTGGTTGCACGGAATTGGGTGTCACGGCAGGCCTGACTTATGTTGCCTTTAAAAACAACAAAACCCTCTTCTACGATTTCTCCTGTTGTTGAAGAAAATTGCAGCAGGGAAGTGAACTGGTAGGCATTCCTGTGCAAGAAGCTGGATGTAGAAAGGACCTGATGCATGTTTGAGTCTAAAGACAAGGGTCTGAACTCTCTGATGTGGAATAGGTTTAAAAGCTTGTGTGGGAATGTCTGCAGTGCTGTTGGGTGCCACCTGGGAGCAGGGTGGACTGGTTTGAAGCTTCTCCCTTGTCACTGTGTTAGCACCAGAAGTGTGGCTGTTCACCCCTGGTTGTGTTCAGAGGAGCAGGATGTCTTGTGGAGCAGAAACTCAGGGTTTGCTACGGAGCTCTGTGAAGAAAAGCTGTGGAAGGGGAGTGAAGGGGCTGTCCTGGACTGAGAGCAGCTGGTTTTTTCCAAGTAGAGAAATTGGAGCTGGATGTGAGGGAAGGGAGGGGGAGCAGTGCTTACCATTGAAACAGAGCCCTTCACAAAAAATGGCAGCAACTCAGCCTCCTGGCTGTTGCTTTTTTAATATTTACCAGGCCCGTTTAGCAATTCCCTTGGTTGTATCACGTTCTCTAATGGAATCTGCGTTTGGATTCCTACCTGGCTGACTCAGTATTTATACCTGGACCCAATCTCTCTGCAGTGGTTTGACCTAACTTGTTTAAAGAATTTTATTTTTAACCTTACACTAGGTAACTTGAAAGCAAGCAAGGCTAAATCACTTTGCAGGATTAATGGTGTTTTGTGACTCCTGAAAATGAGCTGGCTTCTGTTTTTATGACGTCAATCTTGGTAATCTTGGAGTTGGGCATGAGTGGGAATTGGACAAGCTCTGTTCTACTTTATTCTATTTGTACTTTTATCAGTGTGTTGATTTTGAAAACTGTCATCAACATCATGATATTGCTGAAATTTAGACTGTTTAAATTGTTTTGGCCCATCCTCCATAAAGCTCCTGGTGCCATGACGTACAGAAGGGTTTGATCGTTTGAGGGGACATGGAAGCCACAGCCTCACCACTAAGATCTCAGGAAGCTAGAGGGAAACCAATAAAATAGTCTGTCTGTTACCAGAAGCTGTTATTTTTAAACTTTTTGTTTGTTTGTTTGGTTCTTCCATTTTTTTGAAGCTGCTGTTCTAGGACCTACAAGTAGATTGTTGATGCTCTGTATTTCTTCCATGAACTTTTAGGTGATTATTTCCTTGTAAAATGCCATTTTTTGGTATGCTTTATGTCTGTTGCTAGTGTTGTCCTATTGATGTTGGTCATAGCAGAGTAACATGCTGGTGAGCAGTGCTTAAAAGGTGTATGTGTCATATACTATTAATGCTCTATTAATAATCATCACTGAGTCTTACTATTAGTAGTAATGCTTACATGCAGTTTCAGTCACATTTAGTACCAGTACTTAGAATAGGTACTTCATGAAAGACTAGGAGTAAAATTTCAGACCCGTTACGAATCTTTTTATTTATCTTTGTTTCTTATTTGGTTGAAGCACAGGGGCAGGACTCTGAACACCTGAGTTCAGTGCTTTGCAACAGCCTTGTGTGAGCTTGCTGAAGGAGAAGCCAAGTGACTTGTCCCCTTGGTAAAATACAGATTAAAGAAACTGTGTTGTATTTGTAGACTTCAGATTTACTGAATGGAAGGTGCTAGAGGAAATACAATTGATGTGCACCGCACTGTTATTCTGCTAGAGCTTTTGGTGAAGTTTAAGTTTATTTCTCATACACTCTGTTTACTTGTAGCCCATTGGGCTTCTCTGTGCTTTTCAGAGAAGACCTAGTTTGGACTTGCACTGTTTTTCATATAACTTCCCTAAACAGGTTGCATTCATTAAAGTGAGAGCTGGGATGAAAGGTTGTGAAATGCCTCCTTTGCAATTACTTCAGGTTCATATTTTACAAAAACTGTACAAAGGGTTTGTCTGTTTTGCTCTAACATGAAAGTCCACACTCTTTGATTTTGGCCATCTGCGCTGGGAGTCTGTTGGAACTCCCCATCTGCCTGGGGCTCCTGCAGGGCTGTTCCTTCCACAGGTGTGGTACCCTCAGCCTTTCCCCATTACTTCTCAGTGCTTCAAGGAGTAAACAGGGACTAAAGACAGGCAGTTTAAAGGTGGCATGGTCTGATGCCTGAGATCTCATGGCTTGCTCAGCCTGCTTTTACTACATCATAAGTATTTTGCTGAGAATATTGTTTTACTTATGTTCTCTTTAGATAGTAAAACCTGTAAAATAGGTTGTGAACAACTTAGTGCAGCTCCCTTGGATGGAGTTGTTTCTATTTTCAAAGCTATTGAAATTCTATTTCTTTTTGTCCAGCTTTCTTTGTGGAACCTCTACAATATTGTGGCTTCTTTTGAAGGTCAAAATTGTCAAGCTTTTTTTTTTCTAATCTCTTCCCAGGCTTCTTAAATCAGTCTTCCAACAGGTGAGCTTGGAGGACTCCTTAACCCTGCTGAGTGTAGCATTTTACATTAAAAACAATGGAATGTTTCCCATGTTGAGAGAACTTTGATCTTTCTTGAGACTTAAGGTTTGCCTGAAGTAATATTCCTATGGTGAACTCTATGGTTTTGTTTTTCTGCTATATCATACAGGGAATACAATTTACTGCTATAGAAGATGCATGTTCAATGAAACTGGTGTTGCAGAATCACTCAGTATGAGAATCTACAATTAAATGAAGAAAACACAAATGCTTTGTTAACCTCCAGATTTGAATCATCAGGTTGTACTCGTTAAAACTGTTTCAGTGTGGGGAGAAAAATGCTTACCTCAGTCTTTTATGCCATCCTGTCGTTGGAGGTGTAAGATTTGAATTCACTAGTTATGACCATGCTCCTAAACATTTTTAATGGTTAGCTGTAGAGAGAGGAAGTCTTTATGCAGTTTTGTTGCATCTGGCATTGGTTTAATCTAGAACATTTCATTTGTGTTTTGTACTACTAAAATAGTGTTTCTGGAAGTAGGATGATACTTTAGAGACTGTATTTAGATTGCTTTTGAGGAAAGAAAACACATTCTACTCCATTTGTTTTGTTTAGTGGTTTGCGGGTGGTGGCTGTATAGTGATATGGAATGAAGCATATGGCTTCAGAAACATTTTTGCTTCCTGTTCCAGTTTGCTTTTAAATGTTAACTGAATCATGGCTATTTTGTCCTTAGTGCTTGGCTTTGTACTGTTTCATTATCTATGTTTTTCCAATTTGAAAGCTATTGCTGATTTATTTTTTTCTCTGCTCTTCTTTGATTTTCAGAATCTTAAGTTGTCTTACACACAGTTTCAGCAACAGGAATCTGAAAGGAATCCTGGTGCCAAACCTTGCACTGCTGTTGAGCATATTGTATTCAAGAAACTCTGGTATATTGTATATTGTATTCAAGAAACTCTGGTCCATGCATTTGATGGGTTGTGCCCCAAGGGATGGATGTGTGCTTTTATTTCAGCTTTCAGTCACACATTCTGGAGATCACTGACTTGTGATCCATTTTTGAGACTGACATAAGGGAGACCTAAGTTAGTGATGTTAATTTCGGGTGACTAAGTGTGATGAGGGGGAGCAGTACTGCACTTCCTGGTCTTGTGCTTCACTTTCTTTTATTAGCTACTGAATGAATTTCTGAAAGTTTTGAACATGGATTAAGTGCCAAGGGCTAGCTGTCTGAAATTTGTTTTAGAGAAAGATTGGACTAGACTTACGAGGTTGGTGAAATTAAGTTAATGAGTACAAAAATAAAAGTGTTTTATCCTTAGTGTTTGAGAAAACACTTTCTGATACATATCTTCAACCTGTTGGGTTTCTTTGCTGTTTCTTGATGTCCAGATTAGCAGCAATGCCCAGGAACTCTTCTTTGCATCTTAGAGAAAGATGGTTATTACCTTTTTTGAATAGTTCTCTGTTATGACTGCAAGTATAAAGCTAATTTCAACTCCAGTTTTTGTTGTTTACCATTTTATTTCTTGGTGTAGTAGTGTATGTTTCTGGATTTTGTCCCAATTACTTCTAGCCTACCTGATTTAATTGAAGATTCTCTTGATTTTCTCTATATTACTGTTGGAGCAGAAATACTAGAGCTTAAGAATTGTCTCCAATGAAGGTTGTGGG